GGGGGGGCGTGAGGGGCAGCAGCTGCCTCAGGGGGACACCCCCACGCACAGCAGGCAGCTCCGTGCCCAAGCCTGGGGGATCCTCAGGACCACAGAGCTGCCAGGAGGGGGCTGCTTGCTTGGGTGGAGGAGTGGGCAGCAACGTCAGAGGGGAGACTGACACCCCAGACCCACCAGAGGGGCGGGACAGGCCCCGGGGCACGGGGTCAGCCATCAGGGCCTGTGTGTTTGGGAAGCAGTGCACGTATTTAATTATATGCATGTGTGTGTGTGCAAGCACCTGTGTATGCAGGCATGTGCGTGCACATGTATGTTCATATGTGTCTACACACATGCACACACGTGTCTGCACATGTGCACGTATGCACTGGAGTGTGTGCGAACACCCATGTGTGCTTGTTCACATGTATTTGTACATGTGTATGGGTGTCTGTGCATGTACATGTGTGTGCATGAGTGTGTCTGTACATGTACATGCGTGTGTGTACGCGTGCGGGTGTGTGTCTGCATGCCAGGGGCTACCTGGCTGAGCTCTGTGGTCATCAGTGCTGGGCTCACACTGGCTGTCCCCTCATGAGCCCTGTGACTCCAGGCAGGCCACCCATGTCCCTGGGCTGCCTGGGGCTCATTGGGAAGGTGAGCCGAGGCCTGCCCCCACCCCTGAAACAGCTCCTGGGTAAAACTCTGGACAGAGTCCCCCGAGACCATGCTCTGTAACACCCCACCTGCAGTGGCCCCCGACCCAGGACCCTCAAGCCTGAACGCCAGCCTCAAACACCCTCTCCTGCCTGCTCCTGGCCACCCTGGGCCTCCCAGGACACAGGAGGCTGCTGGGCAAGGCCTCTAGGGCTCTGGCCACACCCACTAGCCACGCCCACCGTGGCGCCGCATCAGCCCGGCGGGGAATGACTGTCTCCCCACCTGCCAGACCGGGTGATCCTGCAGAGCAGGCCCGGCCAGCCGAGGAACCACAGCCCGGCCAGGGCAGCCTGGGGGTGTTGGCCGGGAGGGGTGGGCAGTGGGAGCCGAGGGCTGTGGGGACGGGGGTCCGGGGCTGGCACTGACCCTGAGCGCCTCCTCGGGCACGCGGTGCTGCACACGCTCCAGCACGTACATGTTGGAATGTGGCCGTGAGCTAAGGAGAACACTGGGGTGGGGTGCACAGCAGCCTCAGCCCTAGGAGACGAGAGGACTGCCACCAGGCGATGCAGACCGAGGGAGGAATGGGGGGGTCACGCTGCCCCCCGAGTGTGGACATCTGCAAGCACCCCCCCACGGGTACACCAGACATGTGTCCACACTGTGGGGACAGCCTATAGCACGTGCAGCCTGCTGGATGGGGAGGCGGGCAGGGGCCACTCCAGGTCACAGCACATACACGCTCAAGGACTCGGGGCATGCCCTCCACCCCGCACTCAGCCGAGGGCACGGCAGGCAGGCAGGAAACCCAGAGGTTACGACTCCCGTCCAGCTATCCTAGACCACCCGCCAGCCCGCAGCCTCTTAGGGTTCCTGGGGTGGGGGGGACCTCCGCCAGCAGCCAGGGCCACATCCCCAACCCCTGTGCCAGCTCCAGTGTGGGCTGAAACCAGTATGCTATCCTATTGTGCATACAGGCCCCAGCTGCCCAGGGGGGAGGCACAGCCACCCCTCACCCGTGCCCTGGGCACAGAACGCCACGCCTGCTCAGCCCCTGGGTGCCATGGGGCTCTGCGTCCCAGGGAGGGCTCCCTTGTTCCTTGGGCCCCGTGTGAATTCAGGCCAGCGGGCAGACTGTAGGTGCCCGGGGCCAGGACTTGGGGGATGGACGGCAGGGGCTGCAGTTGGGGTTCATTCTTGCCAGCCTCTAACCCCAGTTGTGACTGCTGAGGCCCCCACCTGCTCCCTTGGGGACCAGGGAGGAGCCAGGAGGAGGAGCGGGAGGAAAGGATATCATAGCCGAAGCGGATGACATCATTGAGCTTCAGCGTGATGTACTTCTGGTCCGGGATGCGCACCTCATTCACGAACGTCTGTGGGGAAACAGGCCCAGCTGAGCTGGCGCGTGCGGGGCACCGGCTCTGGCGCCCTCCCTCCCTCCGGCTCTGGACCAAGCGCCATCCCTCCAACACACGGGCACCCTTGCGCCAGGCAGGGACAGACACCGCCAAGGGACTGGTGAGCGGGTCGAAGTGCCAGGCCTTACCCGGTGCCCAGGGACTCGGATGCAGCCCCCCAAGCAGAAAGCCCCTGGACATGTTTGTGAAACAGACCATCCTCTCGTCCAGACAGACTCATGCTGGCTGCAGCCCCCCACCCAGACCCCACGATGCCTCCAGGGTGGCCCCATGGCAGGGCTGGCCAGGCTGTGCCAACGCTCTCCACAGAGGCTCGCAGGGCATCGGACAGCCAGTCCCCGAAAACAGTCTTCCCTCCAGGGGGAGCCCCTCATGGGCCACCACCCAACACCACACTGTGCTCAGGTGAACACAAGACCCCAGCTGGCTCTGCACGCTTCTGGGACAAGCCAGGCTGCCAGGGGGATGGCAGAGGTGGCTCAGGCATGAACTGTGCCCGGAGTCTGGTAAAGAAACAAGGAACAGGCCCTGGCCAGTTTGGCTCAGCGGTTAGATCGTCGGCCCAAGGACTGAAGTGTCCCGGGTCTGATTCCCAGTCAAGGGCACAATCCCTGGCCGCAGTTGGGGTGAGTTTGGAAGGCAACCAATTGATGTGTCTCTCACTCCAATGTCTCCCTCTCTCTCTCTCTCTCTCCCCCCCACTTCCACTCTCTCTGAAAAGCAATGGAAAAAATATTCTCAGGATTAAAAAAATAATTATAAAATTTAAAAAAGAAAAGAAAGAAGGAACTATCAGGACTCGTCACAGGACAGTCTGGAGCCCAGAGGAAGGGCAGCTCCGGGCAGGTGTCTGCTGAGCACACGTGGAACGTGGCAGCTGTGATCCGAGAGGTGGCACAGCGGGCTGGCCTGGAGAGCACTGCAGCCAAGGCGAGCATGGTTTTGGACACACTGATGTAAAATAGGGGTCCTTGGGCACCGAGCAGGGAGCAGAGGACAGCAGGCCTGGCGTGGGGACAGCTGCAAGGCTCTGCAGAACCACCCTGCCTGCCAGCCTGTGTCCTTGTCTGAGCCCGGTGTCAAACGGGCAGGTGGGCGCTGGCCCCACATCACAGGCCTCTGCAGAGCCTGCCCCTGGGGTGAAGAGCAGGGAACAGGCCAGCACCCCTGGACCTTCCTGAAGCCCCCTCAATCGGGGGGCCAGTGCCAGCCTCCCTTGCAGCCCATCCTGAGGACAGACGGGAGAGGGACCCGGGGGGCAGACCCCAGCACAGTCTGAGACCCCAGCTGGGTGCGAGCACCCCGAGAGGAGCCAGTGGGTGAGGCATGACAGAGGTGGGGCCAGCCTGAGCCTCCTGTGGGGCCCCGGCTCAGGATGGGGGGCAGGACCACACAGGGAGGGCTGGGGAAGGGCCCTCCTTGGCTCCAGCAAAAGTGGGCGGAGGTTGGTGGCTTGGTTTTCTTATTAAAACAGTGCCCAGGGCAGGCTCCTGTCCACCAAACCCAGAAAGAAACAAGACTCCCAAAGAGACATCCTCTGGACAGACAGACAGCACACAGACCAACACCGGGCCCCACCCCTGCTCCCGTCCTTCCTGCCCTGTTTCCACCCCAAACACCAGGTTCCTCTCACCTGACCCCCATCCCTGCTCCTACAGTCAGGGCCTTCCTCCTGGTCACCTCCCTGTCCTCAGCACCCCAACTCACAAAAGAGGTCACATAACGCCCACCCAGGACACGATACCCCAGCACAGCCCCATCCATCTCGGGAGTCCCATTTCCCAGCCCGCAGGGGGTCCCAGTACCTCCCCTGCTCACCTGAGGCCCATCCCTCTCCCCCCAGGCACGGTCCAGCGGGAACCCTCCTGAGGAGGCTGGCTCCCCACCTGAGCAGAGGCCCTGGAGGGGCCAGGTGGGCCACAGCAGAGGGGTGTGTTCATGGAGGCGGTGGGGCCCCAGAGAGGGACAGAGCTGGGGTGAGGCCAGCAGAGGGAGGGGCCCTGGAGGGGCAGGGACAGTGCAGAGGCCTGAGGAGCCGTGGAAAGGGACAGAGACAGTGCAGAGGGAGGGGTCGTGGAGGGGCAGGGCCATGGCAAGGAGCAGAGCCAACACTCACCCCGTTCAAGCTGCCCAGGTCCTTCACCCAGTGCTCATCCCTGTCCTGGTCATAGTTGATGACAGCATGCTGCTTGTCCACACTGCGGGACTGGGAAACACAGGGGACGTTCAGGGGACCTTCCCTGCAGGAGCCCCCATCGCCCCTCTGCCACCAGGACACCAACGCCAGCCCCGTGGGCCCTGGAGCCCCTGAGGTCCCACCCGCACCCTCACACCTTGAGTGTGTGCTCCCCGGAAAGCTCGCCCGGGCCGGGCTCGGCCAGCCGTCCCAGCAACCAGATCAGGCCACAGAGATTTGCCAAGATGCCTGGGCCAGTTCCTCCCGCCCCACTGAGGCCACCCGGGCCCCTCCCTTGTGACCAGCCCTCCACAGCATCACAGGCCAGTGCCCCTCCCACCCCAGTGGGTGCTCCTGGGTCTGCCGGGGGAGGGGCTGGGAACCCCTGGTCAGCTGGGACGTGATGTTCGCTCCCAAGGGCAGGCGAGGGAGGCCAGGCAGGTCGGGCAGAACCCGGAGAGAGGATTGAAGGGCTGGGGCAGTGGCTCAGGGAGAGGCCTCCCCCACTCCTGGTCGGCCCAGCCAGCCCCACC